ATAATATTCAAGGATTTCCACTTTTCCCTAATTGCTTGCTAATCTCGACTCTGTTTGTACTTCACTATTTCTTTTACAGAGCTTCTCTATAAAACTTAAGGTTTTCATATCCAGCATGTTAATCTTCCTTTGTATTGCTATCACTTTCCTTGGCCATAATTTATCAAACTGTTGGCAGAACACAAATAAATGATGCAGAGAACCTATAGCATTGGCATTCTTTGGCCTATAGTTCGCCACATTGGCTTTTATTAGCTGGGAGCATAAAATGAACACAGAGAATAGGAGACTTATTATTAATAGTGTGCCAACATGGTTTGTTTCCTAAATATTTTAAGGACATATTTCCTAAGAAAAATATTTCAGAAACATATATTATTACTACAATATGGGGAAAATTCAGTTGTGTTACACTTATCCCAAAGCAGTTTCTGCTGGTCTGGATCCTGGAGAAGAAGTCATCAAAATGAGATTAAATGTGCAAGAAATTTATTGGAGGAAATACCTGTTACAGAAACTAGGAAGGGAGCCTGAAGAGGTTCAGAGAGCCCTCAAACTGAGGCAAATCTAACCTGAATGGATGTGGAGAGGGGAGGAAGGGGCAGTAATACTAAGGAAAGTTCAGCAAGGCCTTCAGGAAGCCCTGGAGCCTCCCCATCAGAGGAGTGTCTTGTCTCCTAGGAATGGGCCTGTTTGAGTAACTGCCATGTGCCTGGCCAAGAGCAGCCCACGGGAAACACGGTCTCAGTCCAAACAGATTAATACATCTCAGAGAACACTAGCTGGGGCCTTCAGTTACTCTCCCTGCTCTCTAGGATCTGAGGCACTTTCTCATGGTCCTCACGTATGATTCTCAAAATTTATTGTTCATACAAATCACCCCAGAATCTTATTAAAATGCAGATTGGGCAGATCTGCGTGGGGCCTAAATTTACTTCTAATGAGCTCTCACATTCCATGATGCTGTTGGCTACAGACCTCACTTTGTATGGCAAGGTCCTAGAGTGTACTTGGAGGAACCTTGAGCCATCCAGGGACTATGGAGAACTCTTCACAGCCTTAATTCCTCCTGCCAATGTGCATCATTGTTACACCAGGTATCTCTGTTACAGTCAGATGTATACACTTCCAGGTATTTTTTTTCCCATTCAAATAATTCATTCCCCTTTCCTCTAATATCATAGCTGTCACTATCTCTGGTCACACTGCTTTGTCACAACTCAGTAATGGTCATCTCTGTGTTCTCTCTTTATATGCATTCATTTTTTGGTACTAAGAGAGGGCTTTGGCCCTTTGTGGTCTAATAATATCCCTTCTTCTCCCCAGTTATCTGGTTTAAACAGTTGATGTTTCTTAATCTTACGCAAAAATTTCAGGCACCTCCTTCCAAACATATTGGGCTCTAAAGTCCATCCTACATAGAAATTCTGGTGCAGCCAATTATATTTCTCTTCTATGTGAGAGTTCAGAGAGATCTGGCTGATGCATGTCTTCTAGGTCGCCTGAAGACTTATGCAGCTATCATCCTAATACCATGTGGCTCTTCTACTGTTAAATCCATCCATTCCCTTCCTTCACTCTAGTCACTAGCCTTTTTGTATATCTTAACTCCATTCCCTATCCAGTGCCTACTGTGTAAAATAGCAGTTTTCATATTTTTTTAAAACCCTTAAAGTTCTTTCATCAGAGAAAGGTTGAATAAAACAGATTGCATGAAAGAATGGGACATAAAATTAGAGGGGTAACTAGTGTTTAAGCATTACCATGAAGGCTATGGGAAGCAAGTACAGGATTTTAGGGAAGAAAAGACATGGCCTGACTTGTACATTTGAATGATTACTCTGACATATGTGAGGATGACTTAAAGAGGGTCCAGATGGAATCAGAGACGAGGAAGGAGGGTTTGGGAACATAAGGGATATGAAGGAATCAGAATGATCAGGACTTGCCATCTGGGTATGAAGGCAATGAGAGAGGAGTATAGGGTGTCTCTCAGGCTTCACGCTTGGGCAATTACTGATGAAGGGGTGCCATCACTCCAGTTACTGACATGGGGAAGAGGGAAGGAAGAACCGTTCAGGGAAAAAGATACTGAGTTCAGTTTTGAACTGAATACAACCATTTGGGTAAATTGATGTGGAAATCAGTGACATCTGGTTTAGAGGCCCCTCTTGTATCCAGTTGTCTATGTTACTATTTGCAGACCATTCTCAGCCTCTGTTTAGGCAACTGCTCAAAGTTTCTATTAGGTAGTCTTTTTCAACTGAATTGCCTATAAAGTCTTGCTTTCTCCCAATATATTCTGCAAAGTGAAGATTTTCTCCACTTCTTACTTCCAAAATTATTTCTCTCCTCTTTCCAAAGTGCTCTTTGCATAACTGAGATTGGTGTTCTTTCTACTGGCCACACTCTTAAGCACTCAGAGAATCAAGGAGGGCTTTTTTATCTTTGGCAGGGTCGTTTTCCCTCTAGAATCTGAGCTTAAAAGACTTTAAGGCTCTAACTATGAGTAAACAGGAATTAAAAGAAAAATATGGGTGTACTCTGCAGAAGGCAGGATAGACTGGATTGCTGTTGACATGTGGTAAGAAATGAGGTATCATGTATAATAAACTGGATATATTGTACTTTGTTTGAAAAGTGAAGTTGTACTCTGCATTGTTTTCTGTTACATTTTAACCTGGTAGTTTTCAAATTTGAGTTTAAAATCTTTGGCAGGTCACTAGGAGAGAGGATTGCTGAGTAGTTGGAACTTCAGGCCCACCACCACTGTCTCAGCCAGAACAACCTAATCTATTTTACATAAGCTTTCACTGAAGAAAGGATTCTATGGCTTTTTTAAAGTGTGAAAACCACTATTTTACACAACAGAAGCTGTAAGACATATGACGAGGTCATGACGGAAGAGTTCAGAGTGAAGAAAGGAAGGAAAGCTGTTTAATAATAGATGGACACATAGGCAGTGATTGGATAACTGCAGAAAAGTTTCAGGAAACCTGGATGCACGGTGACCAAACCCCCCAGTACTTCCAGGCAATTCCTCACCTAGAAAAGAAATACCGTAATGGACTGGCTGCACCATGGACTTCAGGGCTTAGCTTAGTTGAAAGGTTTGAAACTGTTTTTGCTCAAAATGAAGAAATGCGCATGTGCAGACTTCCGGAGACACCCATACAGGGGTTACACAGCCAGGAAACAAGAGGTTAACAGCTGGGATGTCAAAGACAATGAACTGTAAGATTCCTTAAATGGGTCACAGTATTTATGCCAATATTTTTCTTTACATCCGGAACAACTTCTTGCCCCTTCTCCAATTAGCTAACCACTGCCTGTTCTTCTGTAACTCCTTTTAAGAATTCTCTGGAACAAGAAGCCCAAGAAAATTTGGATGGATGGCCCTTCTTTGTGCTACTAACACAAGACATACTTCTATTCCATTTTAATGTTGATTTACTTCTGTTGCTCCATATCTTAGCTCCTTAAAGGAAATTCATGACATCTGAATTTACACCTCCAAAGCATATCTTACAAAGACCTAATAAATACCTGTTCAATTATTAAATCCACAAGGATTACATTAGAATCCCCTCAAAGTAATTCAGGCAGAATTCTTTACAGGTGCTCATGCAAGTACATCCTTGACTCAGAGAAGAGTTTTAAAGGGAAATTAAAACATACCCATGATTAAGGAAGATGGGAGAGAGGAAAGATGTGATATTTTTTGTTTTTGTATGTTTGTGTAAAGGGGCAAGAGGGGATAAATACCTTGAGTAAGAGACTACAGGGCTTGATTAAGGTATCTCGAATAAGGTGACTGATACAATTTCACAACCAATGTATGGAATGCATGTGTTGGTGCAGAGGAGAAATGACACAAACTTAAAAAAAAATTTTGGATGCTGAAACAATCACCCTTACGTTGACTGGCATAACTAGTGCCTTTTACAAAAAAAAGCTCCATGGAGTATAACAAAGAAAAACTGAAGGAACAAAACAGCGGCAGAATCACAGAACCCAAGATCGGACTAACAGTTACCAAAGGGAAAGGGACTGGGGAGGATGGGTGAGAAGGGAGGGATAAGGGCGGGGAAAAAAGAAAGGGGGCATTACAATTAGCATGTACAATGTGGTGGGGGGGCGGGCACGGGGAGGGCTGTGCAACACAGAGAAGACAAGTAGTGACTTACTACGCTGATGGACAGTGACTGTAAGGGGGTGTGGGGGGGGGATTGGTGAATGGGGGTGCCTAGTAAACATAATGTTCTTCATGTAATTGTAAATTAACGATAACAACAACAAAAAAAGCGCCCATACAAAATGTTCACGAACACTGAAGGAAACTATCACAACGACAGTCAGTGGGTGAATGTTTTTCAGCCCCCATTCAAAACTGCCGCCTGCCCTCTCCTCGTCTGTTTCCGGTAAATCAAACCCATTCTTGCCCAAACAAAACAAAGTATATTAAAACACGTAAACAAAACAAAACCAAACCGCCAAACCCGCCTTGAAATGCAAAGACCAGTCTGGGGCTGTGCGCTGCCGTCGAGCCCCTCCCGGGACGTGGCCGCAAACCCGACTCCCCAACGTCCCCTGAGGGTCCGGTGGTACCCAGGCCGCAGGGGGCGACCTGAAACCCCCAGCCTAGGCGATTTTCCAGGAGACACAGCCGAGAAGGCCTCCTGTCACCCTGGGCAGGTCGGCTTCCCCCGAGTGGGGCCAAAAGACAGAGAGAAGGAGGGCGGCAGGGGCGCCGGGCACCCCGGGCATAGGGAGACCCGGTCACCAACTGCCCTGCAACCCGGAAGCAGATGCGGGCTGCGCGACGCGGGCCGGGTTGCGGTTCCGGGTCGCATAGCGCCGCAACCCGCCCTCCGCTAGGCGCTTCACTGCCACGCCCCCGCGGTTTGGACTTGGGCAAGCGGCGGCCTGCCAGCCGCTCCCGGGGCCACATGGCTGAGGGGGACGCAGGGAGCGACCAGAGGCAGGTGAGGCCCCGGCGGGGCGCCGACCTCCAGGCGCGGCTCGGCCTCGCCTCGCCGCCCCGCGCCGCCTCCACCGAGGGCCCTCTGCCTGGGGCCGCCCCAGTTCCCGCCTGCAGTGTCCGGGCCTCCTCCGCTTTGCATTTGCTCGGCGCTGGGTTCTGGCTCTTCTGCTGGCTGTCCCCGGGCGTCGGCGGGCTCAGCCTGACCCCGACCGGACCTCGTCAGCCATCAGCACGCGACTGAGCAGCTCCGGCCCGTAGGTGGAAACCCGGGTTCTGCGCCCCGCCCGCTCACCTTGGTCCGGCCGCTTAAGAGCCCCGGTTTCTGCCTTTGCAATATGCGCAATAATGACACAACCCCGGGAGTTCCCCGCAGGCTCAGTGACAAGTACTTCTCTTAGTACTGAGCTTTCTCCTGAGGGTGGTTCACGTGGGCGCTCTTAAGGCTTTCCACCTGGGCTGTGAGGACAAACTGAGATGATAAAAAGTTGCATACTTTGCATCCTATGTTTACCTTTAGGTCTGGTTATTATTTTTTAATCCTAAACCAAAGGAATAATTTCCGAAATGTTTTGAGGGTTTGATTACCAAAAAACCAAAACAACCGTCAGCCGCCATGCCCAAATCTAAAACCACACAACGGAGACTCGGTAGGAATGCAGGGCTAGTATGTAGCAAAGCCACTGGGGAGTTGGGGTTACCTGTTAAAAAAAAGAGGGTTGGAGCAGAGAAGATAAATTTGTCCTTTCATTTGTGAATCTCGCTGCAGAGTATGTATTTTGGCTGGGTAGTGGCCAAAAGTAGAGTGATGTAGTGGCCAGGCTGGTTCCAGACACCGTCAGTAGTGTCCTGCAGTCACTGGAAAGTAGAACATGTTGACCAACTGCTAGGAATGTTTGGCAGCGTTCCTTCAGGGATCCTTCATCTATGCTAGTAATGTTAAATGCAAATTCTTTCTTATAAAGGAGTAATGAAGACTTGCGGTTTTTAGGGTATGTACATTTGTTGACTTTTTTCCCATATCACCTTTCAGAATGAAGAAATTGAAGCAATGGCAGCCATCTATGGCGATGAATGGTGTGTCATTGACGACTGTGCCAAAATATTTTGTATTAGAATTAGCGACGATATAGATGACCCCAAGTGGACACTTTGCTTGCAGGTACTTTTCCCCTTCCTTACAGCCATTTTCCAGTTACAACATTGTATGTGGTTGATTACTATTGTATCCCTCTAGTGACTGTTCTTGGGTGACTTTTTCTAAATTGTCTTTTGTTGTTGATTATCTGAACACATGGGTAATTAAATCTCAGATCACTCTTAAGTCAAACTTTGATAGTATCAATTTTTCCTGTTCCAGTTAGCTTAATTATTTAAGTGTTCTTAATGTATCATTGAAAGACTTGAGTTTCACTTCCTTATCCTGTCCATTTAATAGGAGAGGGTCTAAGTCTAGGATGATGGCTAACATTTAAGAGGAAGAATAGGTTAGTAATTTAGATGGTTCATAGAGTAGCTATTTATTTCTTCATTAGTTGAGGATCAGTTGTGGTTAGGATAAATGAATGAAAAAATCAGTACGGCTCTCTGTTCTAATGCTATTCTTTGATGACTGCCTATACTTGTGACATAAATGAAGTGCAAATAAGATTTTGGAAGTATTTGTTTTTATAATAATTCTGATTTGAAAAGAAAGGTGTATGGTTCTCTACTAAATGTTAGTTATATATTTCACAGTAATTAGATTTTTCTTTTTAGCATTTCTTCAGAAAATACTGGGAACATGTTGTAATGCCACTGACTCATTTGTGGTTAGGGCCTAATGCCCCTATTTCAGTGTTTCTTTTACTTTCATCTTTGTCCTCTCCATCCTTATTTTCTAACTTCCATTGCTTTTCTACTTTCTCTGCAAATAATGAGCTCCTTCTTAAAAAAATGGGATCATCACTAACAACACATTTACGGTAGAAGCGTAAATATGAGGAGGGAATTCTCTCCTGAGATTTAACAAAACAATGGTTTTGTTTTTCACTTTGGCAAGTTAGAAATTTGTCCAATGACTAGCTTTGTAAATATCATTAATTTGAGCCATGGTAAAGCATAAACAGATTTGTTTTTAAACTGCTTTGTAGGTGATGCTACCGAATGAATACCCAGGTACAGCTCCACCTATTTATCAACTGAAGTAAGCTTTATTTCTCTGTTTATGTTTTTATAAAAAGATGATACTTTTTGAAAACTTTCTCTACATTGTGTTTACATAAAATATCTTTCTTATCAAAAGGTATATAGAAATGAAAAATACCTTTTGAACTTGGTATAGAGCATTTAAATAAAAAATGAAATTATGTAAAAACACTGAAGTATGTCACTTAGCATAAAAGAGAATCACAGGGTTCATAGGAGTAAAAGAGCTACAGAATTATCTTTAGAGATGGGGAAGGAAGTCTTCCTCTTTGGACAACCTAGTAATGTAGAAACCCAGGCCTATAGAGTTTCCTCTAACCTAATTCTTCCGGCTTAGCCGCATTTCTTTGACATGCCTCTGCCTAAGACTGCCTGCCTTCCAGGAATTGCCCATGATGCTTCTGGTGCTTCTCCCAGCCTGTGTTGTTGAGGAACCATCTTCTCAGCATCCCAACCTTATTGAGTCTTGACCTATTGCTTGCAAGTAACCTTTGATCATCCTTGCTTGCTTGACCTAGTAAGATGTATAAACCTGTGTGAACAGATTGTATTAAATCTCAATTACTAAAATTTTTACCTACCAGTGGGATTTCTTGTATGAGTGTTTTCAAACAGCATTAAAATGGACTATTAATGATGGTTCTGTAATTTTTAGTTTTTATTTTATCAAAAATAATAGATAAAATTAATAGAATGCTTGCAAATGTAAATGCTTTTTCAGAAGAAGTTATTTTTTACAGTCATTGTGGCACCGAGCTTATTGGTTAGAGTTGTTTTTGAGATACCAGTTAGAAAAAAAATTGGGAACTCCTGATAGTGTGGCAAATACTGTGAATCTGAAACTTTAGATTCTAGAATCTGTTCTGACATTTATGTCAACTTGGGCAAGTTTATGATATCCTTTGAACTCAGCCCTGGCTTTTTTCTTTATTTTTTTTACCATATTTTAACTGAATAATATTGGTGTTGGCTTCATCATGGTTTCCTGTGAAGACTAAATGAGTTAGTGCCAAATGAAAGTATTTTGAAACTATGGATTTATATATATAAGATAACATTTTAATGAAAATAATTTCTGAAAATTAAATAAAACCAATTTGTGATTTAATTAGTCAATTTCTGTTTGAAATTAATTGTGTATAAGCACAATCCTCAAATAATCTTGTCTATCTTAATCTTAGTGCTCCGTGGCTTAAAGGGCAAGAACGTGCAGATTTATCGAATAGCCTTGAAGAAATATATATGTAAGTGACAGGTGATTTTAAAAAATTCTACTAGTGATTCTATTATGGACTTCTGTAGCGACTGTGTTGTGTTAGGACCTTTTCTAAACTTTTGCTAAGCTGCCTTTCCATTAACAAAAAGGAGCCTCTTGAAGAGTCCTTGAAAGATTGGTTGTATAACTTTTAGATACATTTGATATGACTTCTTAGATATGAAAGTACGGTACTATGTAGAACTAATAGCTATAAAAACACTTATACAGTTTGTGAAAGTAAATTCAGAGATACTAGTCTTGTTCTAATTATTTTCATAAGCTATGTTGAATGAAACTGGTAACAGCAGAATCCTAAGCATAATTATTTTTTGAACTATATACTTTTAATGGTAGTTTTCTTGTATTAGGCCACGAGATTGAGAGTCTATTAATACACTGTCTTTTGTACTTTTTTATTCATTCAACAAATACTAAATGGTCCCTGTTTTCATGGCATTTAGAATTTACTGGTAAGAGATAATATGACTCAACATAAAAAATGAACATGAAACTACAGCTGTGATATTTTATACAAGATATTAATGTGCAGTACTGATCCAGTTTAAACAGGATCTGAGCTAGTCTAGGAGGTCATGGATGGCTTATTTGACTTAAGAGCTGAGTTACTTAGGTGAAGATAACTCCAGTGAAATCCCACAGCATGAGCAAAGGCTCTGTGTCAAGGAGCTTGGCACATTTCAAGACAAAGTATAATGGTGGCATGAAGTGGGAAGAGAGAGGAGGGGAGAGAAGGGAGCATAGTAGGAAAATGACCTAGCAAGGTAGGCACAAGAAGTCATCAGAGCCCTGTAGACCTGTTAAGGGTTTCTGTCTTTATCCCAAGACCTTTGGGAAGCAGAGAAGGATTTTAAATGCTGTGGTACCATGATAAGATTTTCATTTTGAAAACACTGTCCTATTTCTGTGTAGAGAACTGACAGAAAGGGAGCAAAACTAGATGTGAGACATTGGTTAGGAGGCTATTTCAGTAGTCCAGAGAAGATATGACTGTGATTTGGATAATTTTAGTGACCTATATTAATTTAGTAAAACAACGAATGTTTTAGAATATCACTTTTACTCTAATCCAGGAATTGGTCAGTATTGTCTGTGTTCTAGGTGGCCATGTCTTTTGGTATAGTTAGGAGTACCCTGTTTGTATCCCTGGGGCCTAGGCCAGGTTTTTTTCCCTCCCAAAATATTTAATTAAAAACAGTGTGTCTTCATGGAATTTATTCTGTTTGTTCCTTCCTGGAAGAAGGGTAGTCCTCCTTGAGTCCCAGATTTACAGTTGACCCTGTAAGTAATCAAGAACTGGACATTACAATAGAGAGATCCCCATTTAGTGATTCCATCATCCTCAGCATTATAAATATTATTATTATTTTTTACCAACTTATCTTTCACCCTTAAAGTAGAATAAGATAAAAATCTGCAAATTTGTTCACCATTGATGTTGTAATTGTATATCTTATGATCATTTTTCAGTTCTTAACCTTATTTGGCCTCTGTACCTTTTGGTGGTGTTGAACACTCCCTCTATCTTGAAAGTCTTTCTGTACTTGGCTTCCGACATGATAATCATATTCATCGGTTAGATTTTTGCCCTACCTGTGCCCAGTGTCGAGCACTCTGAAATGGCTTCCCATTTGTCTTTTCTCCATCCTTTACTAAGAGATACCCTGTAACTTGGACACACTTGCTATTTTCCCTAATTAGCTCATTTGAGCTATTTGAGAATTTGGAAGGATCAGCAATTAAAAGCAGTTTGTTCTAAAGATAGAATGGCTCATACTGTCTTGTTTATTAAAAGTGCTTGAATAACCCTAGTCCGGTGGCATTGTGTGGGAACACATATAAATAGAAATATTCTGTTTTTAAAGTTTTGTGGATAACTTTTAATCATGTTTTTCCATGAAATTCCAGCAGGGGCCATCAAAATACTGGCTTTTGAAAATTAAACATATGAGATAATTGTATGACTGTAGGTCTTAATGTTTATAGTTTCATTATGTTTTAGCTGTTGTGACACTGTTGAGATTTTCATATTAATTTAGCATTTTGAATGTATGCTAAGTTTGATTTTTGCCTAGATGAGAAGATGAACTGTAGTTTATTTCCTCTTATAGGGGGTATTCTGAAAGAAGTCAGTTTTTCCAGTAAACATTAAGTATCTCTTATATGCTGGCACACTATTAGGAGTTTGGAGTTTAAAAATTGAGATACATGTGTATCAGTACAGTATAGTGACATGATTACTGAGAGGTTTGGATCAAGTACTGTAGTAGCATTTTTTAGAGGTTTTAGTGACAAACTGTCTCTGGGCATGTGGGTTAGGTTGTAAAGGAGGGTTGCATAGTGCAGTTGACCTTTGAGTACAGTGTTTGACAGGTAATCAAAGGGTAGAATGTTTTCTGATAGAAAGAATTACATAAGCAAAGTCATGCAGGTGTGAAGCAGTCTTCAGAATTCAGCCAAGTAGGTTAGGTTGCCAGGTGTATAAACTGAGGTAGGTATAGGAAGAAACCTGTAAGCTGCAGTAAGGAGTTTGGACATTACCTTGTAGGCTGTCGGTGGGTTAGGTGTGGGAGTGATGTAATCAGGTGTGCGGTAGCGTGGAGCATGCGCTGTGAAGAGTGAAGGGCCACGATCGGTACAGCAGTCAGCAACTCAGACGGGAGGGAGTGGAGGACTTTATTAAGGCAACAAGAATGCAGATGGAGAAGAATGGTCATTTAATGAAATACTTAACAATATAAACTAGGAGTTGGTGGTTGTTTAGATGTGGGTTAATTTGCTTATCATACCTTCCTTTTAGTTAAATATTTTACGTATGGATGTTATGAATATATGAAAATATTTTGATAGAACAAGTAAAACAACAGATTTAAAAATATTTAGACTATTATACTCCCAGCTTTCGCCTGTTTTAATTTGTTTCTAATTCTCTGAGAGACTTCATTACAGTGATGGAAAGTCTAAAGACCACCAAACCCTAGAGGATAGTTAAAAGGATGTGAACAAACTGTCGTCACAGGAGGAAATACAAATACAGCCTAACAGCACAACAAAAACACATCAGTGATAGAATTTTGGGGTCCAGGGAAAACAGTAATTTTCATTTTCTGGAGGAAGCCTTTCCTACCCATTATAATTTCCTTATGCTAGATTTCAGAACGTCTCGTTAAATACTAGGGAGGAAGCATTTGATAAATCATGTTAAGTAGAAGTGCTGTTGTATAATCTGCAGGAAGCCATGGACCAGAGGAGAGCTGTGGAGTTAAGGTTTAATTTCTTCTTCATTTTTTAGAAAAATCATATGTTGTGAGAATTCCTCAAAGCTGTTTTCTAACCTCCACTCGCCAAACAACAACAAAACTGAATGTGAATTATATTCATGGAGGGATGATTTCTGTCTCGGGGTGGTTAACTGCATTTTCTATCTCTTCTCTGTAGTAGATGTTCAGCAAACATGAGATGTTAGTATTTCTACTTTGGAGGATGATGATATAAAGAAATCAATAGAATAAGATTAGGAGATGGAATGAATTATAAACCTATAAATTTGTAGGGATATTGATGGTTACAAACACTGGGATAAGGGATCCAGTTTTCTCATTCGCTCCCCAGGGCTGCACTAGTATTTGGTGTATAGGCAAGGCCCTTAAAGATTTGTTGAGTCAATTAAGACATCTGAAAAGAAACTACTTTGTAAACTAAGACAGGATGCTCTAAATCTCTGTTTTATAGATGATGAAACTGAGACTCGAGTTCAAGTGGCCTATTTGCTTATGGGCATAGCTGCTTTATAGGGCGACCTGAGCTTTGGAGTAAGTCTGCATTCATCTGGCTCTGAGCTTCTTATTGCTTTAAGACTTTTTTAGACCAGTTAATTAATCTCTCTAGGTCTGTTTTCTCATTTTATCATGGGAAGGTAATACCTACTTTATTAGACAATTATGAGCATTAAATGTGTTGAGATATATGTGTGTGTGTGTGTATGTATATGTATATGTATATATACACATATATATGAATGTACTTGGGCTTCCAAGGCATTAAATGTGTTGAGATATGTGTGTGTGTGTGTGTGTGTGTGTGTGTGTCTGTGTGTGTGTGTACACATATATATGAATGTACTTTGAGCTTAGTATATACATACTGTCCCTATGCCTCTAAAGGTCTTTTATTGAGAAGATAAGATGGAAGTGGGAATTGTTTAAAGAAACTCAACCAACATTCCCAGTTTTTTAAACCTTTCCAACTGACTTCTCTCTAAAATGACAGCTTACGCAAGAACACAGGACCGCTTTAGTGCTAAGGTCCTGAGATGGGGAGGATTTGAGGGTACAGGACTATTTGAAAACTGTTGTTTTCTTCTGTGTGCTTGTTTTGAAAGTTGCCTTTGTTGGGTGCTGATGAGTGGTGATAAAGAGATAATGGTTTGAAAGGGAACATTTAGAGGAAGGAGGTAATGTGTTGTAATGAGAGTGCAGTAATTTCTTTAAACACACATACTAAAATTTAATCTAAAATTTGTGTCATTACTTGAAGCGTAGACACTTGGACCTTTGTGTTATTGCTGCTGCTCTCATTTAACATAAAACTCAGTGGATGTGAACCATGATACCTTCTTTTTCTCGATGATTTGTTGAGGTGGTCTGAAGCAACCAGACATTAGGATCAAAATGAATCAATTTGGGCAATAGAATACTTTATCAAAAACAAAATATGAATATAAAGTTGTTGCATCAATTGTCTTCTAAGTCTTGTATATTGGCTCTCAGAGAGAGGTTCCTCAGATGTTCTGCATTCGTCCTTTTTGAAATAAGTATACCAAATGATGTGAACTGAATAAGTGGTTTGAAATTTCAAAACATTTACAAAAGCAAGCAATGATTAGACATCAATACTGAAACTATGTTCACTGATAGAAACTAAATCACATTTATGTCTGTCTAATTCATCATTTCAAGTTAAATTTTCTTTCTCCTTTTTGGTTGTAATGCTTCTGCCTGTTTTTAATTTTGGAGCCAGTTGGAATATTTAATGTTGATACACACAATTTATATTAAATGCTCAATCTATAAATATCAGTAAATATCATGTTTTCATAAATTTTTTTAAAGACATGGCTAGATTGCATATGATTTCTTAGATTGTAAATATGTCTGTATTTTTTTGAATTTGAGAAAAAATTTTTTAAAGTAACAAAAATTTTCCCCCTGAATTTTGTTTAGACAGAATATTGGTGAAAGTATTCTTTACCTGTGGGTGGAGAAGATAAGAGATGTTCTAATACAAAAATCTCAAATAGCAGAACCAGGTAGGTTTGAAAAATATTAGCATTGTTCTTTTAGCAGTAATTAAATTTTCATGTAGATATTCTAATTGAAATTTTTAATGATAATTTGTATTTGGTTTTATGGCTTAGGTATGATAAAATTTCTCTAGAAATTTCATTTGTTTATGTAATTATGGTTCTTTCTTTCCATAAGGGTTATTTAGCCCCTTTGGTTTCATATTATACTCTAATAGTAGTAGAATTTTTAAGGTTAAAGAACTTGGGTCAAAAATCTCTGCTTTCTTTGACTATTATTAAGGTAGTATGAACCATGGAACATTCTTCATGAATTATTGGAATGTATGAGTTAGACATTGGCTTCAAATGAATGTAGTGTTTATAGAAGTTATAGAAGAACCTTGGAAGGCACATTGGCTGATACATAAAGCTACTTTGAAATTTGTTTTTTTAAATTGAAATGTTATTCATAATTATTTACCCTTAAGAAGTGTGTAATTCAGTGGTTTGTATTGTATTCCAAAGTTGTGCAATCATCACCACTAATTTCAGGACATTTGAAAATAAATATTTTGCTCTATTAGTCTTCTACTGAATCATTAAATACAAGAAATGGAAATTTCTGATTTTTCCTATTTACTTTGCTAGTGTTTGTTCCACTTAACCACAAAGGTCTTTTAGGGAGGAATATAGCACTATTTAACTTCCTTTAAAAATAGAATTTTGTTGTTATCACTGATAGAATTGTTTCCAGTTTGAAAAAAAGAGGGATTAAAAAAAATAATAGTTCACTAATTTTTTAGGTTTTTTACTGGGAACCAGTTACTTAGGACTCCTTTAGCAAAATCAGTATGCATTTAAAGTTCATTGTAGTACTTTTTTTATTTTACTTTTTAAAAAATAGAGCATTTTACTCTTTATATAGAAGCAACTATTTTTACTGCTTCCATTAAAATCAAAGAGGTAAATGGTCTGAAGATACTGTCCATGTGACAATCTTTTTTTAAGTATTTTCTTTAACTTTCTATGATCCATGATGATTTTGCAGCATTTCATGGGATCTCAAGATAAAACTGATTTTTGCTAATCCACCATTCTAGAATGTGGGATAATTGCAGAAATGAAATGTATATCAGTAAAAATTTAGGACTCCAAAAAGTTTGGAATCACTCAAATTTTGGGAAATTGTGAAAATTACTGATCTTAAAAATGATACTTTCCCTTTCCCACTTACATCTATCTATAATTTAGTTTAGCCACTCTTCAAATTTTAGAATTACTGATTTGTGTTGTACAATTTATACTTTTTATAAGTTTTGTTTGGAGTTTTTTAAATCAAAAATTGTTTTTTTAGACTTCATATTAAAATGGAAGGATTAATAATTCTGAAGAACTGCAAAGAGTACAAGCTAGAGATCAAGATACCACATAAGAATTTTCCTATCCTGGGTAGCCACTTGAGTTATTTTTAATTTACTATTAATCTTCAGCATAAGTTTATTTCTTATTATTTCATTTTTTCTACTATAGACATTAAATTTTAAAACACTTATATACAACTATTTACAATTTTTTGAAATTCTGAATTAATTTTAGATTTACAGAAAAGTTGCAAAAGTAGTACAGAAAGCTCTCTTATATCCCTCACCCTGCTTCCCCTAGTAACATCTTACATAGTCATAGTATAATTATTAAGAACAGGAAACTAACACTGATATATTAACTAAACTAAGAACGTTGTCAAGTTTTAGTAATTTTTCCACTAATTCCTTCTGATGTTACAGGATACTATCCAAGATTCTATGTTGCATTTAATTGTTATTTCTCCTTACTCTCTTCTAGTCTGTAAACTGTTCCTCAATCTTTCTTTGATTTTTATGACTTTTATGACCTGACACTTTTGAAGAGTACAGATAACTATTTTGTAGAGTGTCCTTCAATTTAGGTTTGTCCATTTTCTCATGATTGTAGTGAGATTTGGCATTTTGCCAAGAATACCACAAAAATGATACTGTGTCCTTCACAGTCATTATATCAAGGAGCACATGATACCAATTCTTTTTTTTTTTTGTAATTGATGATGTTTATCTTGGACCAGATATCTCCACAGTTAAGTTGCTGTATTGGTCAAGGTTCTCCAGAGAAACAGAACCAATAGGATGTATGCATATCATGTGTGTGTATGTGTGTATGTATTTATAGAGTAAGAGGGAAGAAGGAAGAGGAGGGAGAGGGTAAGATTGATTTATTTTAAGGAATTGGCTCACAAGATTATAGAGGCAGGCAAGTCTGAAATCCACAGGGTAGTCTGGCAGACAGGAAACTAGGGAAGATTTGATGTTGTAGCTCAAATCTGAAGGCAGTCTGCTGGCAGAATTCCCCCTTCCTCTGAGGAGGTCAGTCCTTTTTCTTTTAAGACCTTAACTGGATGAGGTTCACTCACATTATGAAGGGCAAACTGCTTTACTGAAAGTTAACTGATTTGAATGTGAATTCCATCCAAGAAATGTTTTACAGAAACACCTGGAATAGTGTTTGACCAAATATTTAGGTACCATGGTCCAGCTAAGTTGACATAAAATTAACCATCACAGTTACTGTGTCCTTTTGTAGTTGATAGGTATCTTGGGGGAGATACTTGGAGGCTATGCTAATATCTAGTTCTTAGATTTTCACCCACTCATTTTAGGATCTGTTAGTGTATCTTGTCAACAGTGTTTACTGTGTGGTATTTGCTTAATGATGATTCTCATTCCCTCTTTCCTTCTACAGTTACTAATTGGAATTCACTTGTGAGAAAGAGATGTCTGGTCTCCCATTTATTCCATTATTTATTTATATCAATATGAACTTACATATTATTTTATTCCATGGGTTAAATTCCATACTTTCATTTTTTGTTGCTCAAATTGTTCCAGGCTTGGCCTTTAGGAGCTCCTTCAGGTAGGAAAAATACTAAAGTTCTTATGTGCTCCCATCTTTTTCTGATCATTTATTTACTCTCTGGAATCATAAGATGTTCCAGGGCTATCTTTTATTTTCCTCATTTCAACTCTGGAATCAGTCACTTCTCATAGAAGCCCTGATTCCTTCTATTGAGGAATGGTGTTTAAAGACCAACATCAACAATTTTTTAAGTGAAATTCCTTATTATCTTTGTAGATTGTTCATAATGTCTCATATCCACATAGGCCCGGATGTAAAGAAGAAAACTGAAGAGGAAGATGTTGAATGTGAGGATGATCTCATCTTAGCATATCAACCAGAAAATGCAGTTAAAGCATTGGATTTTGCTATCAGTGAAAATCGAACAGGTATAATGTTACCAACTAGTTTCTTTCGAGGAAAGTGGGATGGTAGTATTATGTATTGTTTTTGGAATGGTCTAGAAATTTAGTATATCCTCACATGTTAGGAAATAGTTATTAATTTGCAGAGAATGAGTTGTATTTTTCTGGCCTGCTGACCATTTTGCTGTTTGCCAGGTCTCTCAGAATAGTGAGAAAAAAAAACTAGAAATTTACCTTTTTTGTTTGTTTGCTACTTTGAATCATGATGGGAGAAATTGAAACTAAGAAACACGTGTTAATGTTTTCAGTTCACATCCTGTTTTTATATTTCATTTTGAAATTCTCATCTTTCTCTTGATGTTTCCAGTTAAATTTTGGTCAGTGCTCACAAATTAATTGAAAGTACAGCTACTGAATTAAAGCTTTTAAAATGCCTTTAATATAAGCTTTTAGTTTTTGCATAAGCAAATTTGTTCCACAATCAAGTAGTAGTCAATTTATAAATAAGTAGATGTGTTAAATCAGCTCTATGTTTCTATCAATGTTCCTTTTCAGTATTTAAAAATTTTGAATGAGATGGTCAATTTCCTCAAGTCTCTTAAAAAATATAGACCCGAGGGAACATTCATTCTGTTTGAAATGAAGGAGTTTCCTCTGGCATTATTTAGCTTTGAAACAGTATTACGAAGCTTTAAAGTTCTTGCATGGTATCTTAGGACTAATGGAGGAAGTAAAGGGGTAGTAAAAGATTGGGGGAGAAGACCCAGAACTCCCACCCCTGCTTCAATCTGTGTAGCTCCCATTTTATTCATTTATATATTTGCAGATTTGGTGAAAATCACCATCATACTAAATAGTATCCAGTTCATATTGGCTTTACTGTACTAGTACAGTGGCCACAAGCCGTTCAAGAAGAGGACACTATCAGGGGGAAGGTAAAATGTCCTACATAAACCTAGTTTCTCATCCTAGCCCTGTCACAAAGCAGTGCAGTGACTTTTGGCAAGTTATTGAAAGCCCTACAGAAATATTTTCACATGTGTTAGTTGAAGTATTTCATCAATTGTAAGGCAAAATGACTTGGTAAGATGTAACAGATCAGTGACTAGACAGAGGAACCAATTTTGATTCTTTTTTCATGAACAACTTTTCATCCTAAATGAGGCAGGTGGAGCAAACAGCCAGGATGGTTGGTAAGTTTCTCAGCAGAGTTAAGGGTAAATTAATAGCTCTTAAACTCGTTTAAGAGGCAGAGTAACTGGAAATCATGATACTCTGAATATCAATTCAGTGTATTACTGATATACCTATTTCAGTTCTCTGAAGTAGGAATAGTTTTATTAGCAGAAGACATTATGTTATAGCTATACAAAATAAAGTCATAGGTTTCCCAACCTAGAGGTCCATAACAAAAGAATAGATAAATAAATTGTGTTCTGTTAGCAGCCATCAATCCTTTTGGTTTCAAGATCCATTTATATTTTTAAAAACTATTTATACTTATACTACTGTGATGGTGTAGGATTTGAGTCCTGACCTGCCACTTCCACTGGGTGACCTTGGCAGGTAAAAATCAAGTAGGTTTATCTTACTTAATTTGGCAACTTCTTACTTAAAATAATATACAACTATTAATGGCTGTTTAGGTTGACATGCCATATAGTTTACATCTCTTTCCCAGCTCCCCCTTCCCCACAGAACCATTGCCAAATTTTCAGTATTTGAATGTGAGAGTTTTTAAAATAAAAGTAATGTAATTCTTTAAATTTATAGAAATAGAAGAATTACCGCCGATTGATCATGGCATTCCTATTACAGACCGAAGAAGTACTTTTCAGGCACACTTGGCACCAGTAGTTTGTCCCAAACAGGTAAAATTAAACTATGTCCAGCTCACTTTGATGTTGTTTTACCAAAGATACTCAAGTAAATGGTTTTGCAATAATATCCTTATTTTTACTATTACGTTTAATTTTCATATAAGATAAAAATATTTGCTCATTTTCCTACCCTTGAATTACTGTGAATCATGGAAGATTTTAGTTTCTCTTTGTAGCTGCTTTAAAAATTATATCTGATTAGGGCTTAACCCTTTAATGGATTTTCAAACAAGAAAAACCCATTATGGTGTTAATAGAAAATTATGATGCTTAATTGCTTGTTAAAAAGGATTATTTGTGCTGTTGTGTAGGAGTCTGCACTGCTCCACTGTTGCCCGATTAAGGGGACAGTGGACTCACTGGCAGAGCCCAGTCTTGCTCACCGGAATTCCTTTTCTTTTCTGCTTCCTGATCTTAGGTGACCTGATTTCCACTCAGGGATATCAAGTGGGGGACTTATTAGTGAAAAATTTATTCCTAGATTTTTGTCTTTCTCATTCTATTTTCAGCAGAATCATTTTCTTGCTTGACGGTATAATATATATAACCTAGTTTAAACTTTATTGATGAGAGATAATTTCAGTAATTTCTATAAGGTTAAATTAACAGCAGAACTGCCTCATTAACTTAGGATAGGTTTTAACCATTAGTCTCTTCTCTTTGGGTTCTGCAGTGACTCTAAGTTCTTGGAAAGCCTTGACCCACAGGGATACAGTTCTTGGTACCAGGCTGCCATTTCACTCTCTTTTAGACTCTGTAAGAGGAAGTTCTTTTCTGCCTTGACTTGTGGTCAAGAGAACAGCTTCTGCTGCAGGCTTCTAGGCTTTTTCCTCAGCAACTTGTTGGCCATTGCTTATAATCTTGTAGCTAGCATTCTCCTTAGATACTCTATTTTGACTCTGTTTATCCTGGATCTTCTATTTCTGATTACAGTCACTTAGATTTATGGGATCATAATTTATGAGAGCTGAAGTAAATCTTAGAGGTAAATGTCTACTTTATTCCATTGATCAGGATCTGAGCACCTGAAAAGTTTAAAAAATGATAATAAAAGACTGCACAATTTCTGATTGAAGTTAATCTTCCTGACACCCCCTCAGTCTTCCTTACCTCCCCTTTTTCTTCCACACTCCTTGCCAGTTACCTTTCTGAAATATCTGACCACATCATTACCCCTCAATTAAACTTTCTATTGTCCACAAGGAAACATATAACTCATCACACAAGACCTTTTGTGATATAACCCTAGCTCCGTCATTCCAAAAACATCTCATCTTCTCATTCATACTCTTAAGTTACAGCTACATAAAACTATTGGTCAGTTTATGAACTTTTTTATGTCCCTGTTAGGGTTGACAGATAAAATAGAGGATATCTAGTTAAGTTGGAATTTTAGTTAAACGTTATTGCATGGGGCACACTTACAATAAAAAATTATTTGTGGTTTATCTGAAATCCTAATTTAACTGAACATCCTTTGTTTTCATTTGCTAAATCTGGTACATTCACACATGCTGATTCCTCTGGAAGGGCATCTTCCTGTCCCACCCCCCTCATCCCTTTGGTGCAGAAGAATTGCCACTTATCTTTTAAGAACCTTGTATGTTACCTCTTTTATGGGCCCTGTGTCACTCTCAGAGAGAGTTTAGGTTTATAACATTTGGAGCATGCTATAATTGTGCACCTATCACATTGGATATATAAATTAGGTATGTTCTCAGAGCTCGTTTTTAGAAATTCTCATATTTACATTTAAAATTATCTGGGGAAAAATATTTATGTACAAGTGCTTAGACCTGGTGAATACTCAAATATTTGTTGATAATTGGTGCTCAAAATACTAGGTCTATCATTTTTATACAAATTGAAAGAACCAGTTTCTGCCACTAAAATGAAAAAAATTTGGGAATGGCTTTTTCAGAGTATAGAAGATTCTTAAATAACTATTTTAATACAATAGTATTCAGATCAATATGTTTAAGATATGTTTCTAGCATTTATGTACAGAGCAAATAAAAAGTATACATTAGTGTATTTATATTACTGCTGTTTTTAAGGTGAAAATGGTTCTTGCCAGGTTGTATGAGAATAAGAAAATAGCTAGTGCCACCCACAACATCTATGCATACCGGTAAGTGATTATCACAATTTCAGGAATGTGCAGTTTATAAAAAATAGGGGAAACTGATGCATGATTTTATAAAATAATAAGTATTATGTTTTTTTTCACATAAAATCATGTGTAGAATATTTGGAAACTACAGAAAATAAAGAATGGAAGGGAAAGCAGCCATTTTCTGCCATTAAATGTAACTGATAATATTTTGATACATCTTCTGTGCAAAGTTTATTTTTTCAATACTCTACCCCAGTATTCTATTTTTTTCTTAATTTAACAAAACGTTTTTCCATGTTGCTATATAATTGTTTTATAAACATTATTTAAATGGTTGTATAATATTTGAGGTTCCATTTCACATTTTGTTTAACCATTTCTTCTTTGCCTTAGTTTTCATATTTTTAACTATGTAAAATAGTTTTAACTATGTAAAGTAGTCCTGTGAACATATTTGTATACTTTTTAGATTATTTCCTTAGAGGATAGATTCTGGTTGCTTCAGATTATTTTTGAAATGAAATGGTATAATTTAAAGGGAATATATAATAGATTTCTAGAGGTAGAATTATCAAAAAGTATAAACATTTTTGAAACCCTTGAATCATGTTGCCAGATTTTTTACAAAGTTCTTTTTTTAACCAATTTATTTCCCCTTAGCAGTGAATTAAAAGTGATTCTTTTACTACATGCCTTCCAATTTTCAGTACTAATGTTTTATGCAAATCTTTGCTGATTTGTTAGTTAAGTGGTGAAAGGTCTATTTTTAAATATGCAAGTTAGCACAGACTTAAAAGAACATAGCTTAGGACTGAAATAAGTCTCAATATAGACATAGGGATTTGGTGCAATTTAAAAATGTGATTGAGACTACTTGTAAAAATCTAGGCTATCTGAAACTGAAAAGACAAAAAAAATAGATCACTTTGGATAGGTGAGTTTTAAATATTACTAAGTTATATCCCTTTACGTGCCAGAACTTACAAAAAACCTATATAATTCCCTACATACTAGAATATTGCTGGATAGAATTTTGATGTTTTCTTAATGAGTTAGGGTCATCAGTATAAAAATGAGGGATTAGTCTGTGCTTGTAGTTTGTAGTTTTGCATATTAATAGGTTGGTGGAAAGATGAATTTAATGATGCATGCATGCCTAGTCCTTTTGATGGTACCACTTGTAGGGGCCTAAGAAATCCATTAGGTGGCATAACCTTAACTGGCACTGTTTTCTTTTTGTATCTGGCACCTATTTGCCAAGCTTGTTGTACTACATTTTAACCTACGTTATGATTCCAAATGCTAACTTTCTAGATAACGTAAATGGGTAAAAATAACATGATTTATCTATGACACTGATAACTATCCAGGGATAAATTACAGAGAAAAATAGATCTTATAATTCTTAACTCAGAAGGGGGAAGATAGAGAAATGCTTGATGGCTAGTGTTTCTCTTACAAACAGGAGTATGCTACTTGTTTCTTTTATATAATTTCCTGGTGGCTATTATGTATCATGCTTCTATATAATATATCCTCAATAAATGTTTTCCAGTGACTACTCTTTACCTCATAGTTTTAAGGTTATTAAAGTAGGGAAAGTGTCCTATGTATAAGCATATCTTCCAGTAATTACAGCATGTCTGATTTAAAGGAAGCATCCTTGATACCCAGCTCTCCCAAATACAAAAAAATTGATACTGGGTAGTAAATCTCAGTGAAAATATATATAGTTCAATAAGGATTTTTTTAAAGCAAATGTGCTCATTTTAGAAGTAAATTGATTACAGCAAGTATGAAAGAGTAATTGACTCAATATTTTGAGGTTTCAAAATGTAATGCTGTTATATGTATTTCTAGAATATATTGTGAGGATAAACAGACCTTCTTACAGGACTGTGAGGATGATGGGGAAACAGCAGCTGGTGGACGTCTTCTCCATCTCATGGAGGTAAGTTTAAGTCAAACCCTGTTAATCTTGTTCTGTGAGCCAAAAAATTTCTTGCCAAATCAGAGCTCCACATAGGAATAAGTAAATCAGTTAGATTATATAATCATGAGATATATTGTTTAATTTAGCAGTTAATTTTTTAACATTGAGAGGAAATTTTAACCACTGGATATGGGCAGAAAGCAAAGACTTAAGAACAAGTGCTGTGCTTTCCAGCTCTTTGAGTCATAGGCAGCAGAAGATTGTCTTCAGCTCTCCCTTTTGTTTTTGACAGTTTCCTCCCCTCTATTTTCTCTCTTCTGTCTCTGTGACTCTCCTGTTAGTTGGGTGTTAGACCATCTGGATAGGTCCAGAGGTTTCCTTTTTTTTTTATTAAGTTGCCCATCTCATTGCCTTATGTTCTGAGACATTTTCTTGACTATATTCCAGAATTCCTATTGAACTAAAACATTTTTTTAGCAACCATTATTTAATTTTTAAAAGTTCTTTCTTGTCTATTTTTCCTTTTTCATAGTGTGCTATTCTGGTTTTATGGATGTAATATCTTCTAAAATATCCTTAAGTATATTAATTAGTATTTTGCTTTTTAGATGTTCTCTCTCTTAATTGTTCCTGGTCCATTTTAGTTTGTTTATCTTGTCCTTTCTCTTTCATGCTGCTGGATTTTCTTCATCTGTCTGGTGATCATTGATTGTCCATTAATTTTAAGAATGGATTGTTTTTTTTTCCTAAGGTAGTTGCTATAGTTTCTTCTGCTATTGTATGTGGAGGTTGTTTTCTAACCAGGCCATTCCCTTGATAGGAACTGTGTGTGGGTGAGGTCCCTGGATTGGTGGGTTTTACATTAAGTGAAGCATTTGACAGATGTCAAACTGAGGAAGACCTTATTGGTAGGAACCAGTGATCATGCAACCCCAGTTCTCTCTAGTAGTTTGTTTGGAAGCAGGCTCTGTGCTGTTGGTTAGCCCAGGGTAAAAGGCTGCCTAAACAAAGCTATTCTGGCTTAAGTCACAAAGAACTGGGAGCCTGCCTACCTGCATGATCTCCCCTTCACTTTGCCTGGTTGTCCCACAGTTTGGAATTGGAGGACCCTGTGCAGCACAGTGTTTTCCAAGTTCCCTTCTCATTCTAACATTCCATCTCCTGAGTTATTAGCAGGCTCACTCTGCTCACTCATGTGGTTCTGCCATTAAAGTCATGGGGAAATTTTATGTGCAATTTTACATATGGGTTATTTCATTCTCTTTTAAAATTTATATGTGCATATGTCGATATGTGTATCTAATTATGCTTCTGAAAATAACAGATTCTGAATGTGAGAAATGTCATAGTGGTAGTATCACGCTGGTATGGAGGGATTCTGCTAGGACCAGATCGCTTTAAACATATCAACAACTGCGCCAGGAACATACTGGTAGAGAAGAACTACACAAATTTACCGGTAAGCAGCAATTACTGATATTATACCTAGAGAGTTTCTCCCATTACCTATGAAATTTAAAAAAAATTAAGTAAGGAAGAAGTAAACTTGTCACTATTTGTAGATAACATGATACTATGTGTAGAAAACTCTAGAGACTCCACCAAAAATCTATTAGAACTAATAAATTAATTCAGTAAAGTTGCAGGATACAAAATAAATACACAGATCCGTTGTGTTTCTAAATATACTAAAAATGAACTAACAGAAAGAGAATAAGAAAACAATCTCATTTACAACTGAGTTATTGTAATTGCATAAAGAATAAAAATACCTAGAAATAAATTTAACCAAGGAGGTGAAAGACTGTTCTCCGAAAACTGTAAGACATTGATGAAAGAAGTTGAATATGACATAAATGGAAAGATATACTATGGTCATGATTGTAACAATTAATACTATGAAAATATCAACATTACCCAAAACAGTCTACAGATTTGGTGCACTCTCCATCAAAATACTAATGGCGTTTTTTGCATAAATGCAACAAATAATCCTTAAATTTGTATGGGACCACAAAAGATCCTGAATAGCCGAAACAATTGTGAGAAAGAACAATGTTGGAGGTATCATGGTCCCTGATAACAAACTACTACAGAGCTACATAATCAAAACAGCACAGCACTGACACAAAAATAGACATACAGATCAACAGGACAGAATAGAGCCCAGAAACAAACCCTTGCTTATGTGGTCAGTTAATCTAGGACAAAGGAGGCAAGAATATACAATGGGAAAAGCCTCTTCAATAAATGGTATTGGAAAACCTGGGCAGCTACATGCAGAAGAATGACTGGACCACTTTGTTATACTATACACACAAATAAACTTGAAAAATGGATCAAAGACCTAAATGTAAGACCTGAAACCTTAAAACTCCCAAAGGGAAACAGACAGTAAGCTCTCAAACATTGGCCTTAGCAGTATTTTTCTGGATACACCTCCCCAGGCAAGAGAAACAAAAGCAAAAATAAAGGAGGCTGTATCAAACTAAAAAGCTTCTGTGTGGCAAAGGAAACCACCAACAAAATGAAAAGGCAACCTACACAATGGGAGAATGTTTTTGCAAATGATATACCAATAAGGGGCTAGTATCCAAAATGTATAAAGAACTCATACAACTCAACACTAAAAAATAAATAATTAATTAAAAATGAGCAGAGGACCAGAATAGACATTTTTCTAAAGAAGATATACAAATGGCCAATAGGCATCACTAAACCCAGGGAAATACAAATCAAAACCACAGTGAGATCCCTTCACACAAATCCGAATGACTAGCATCAAAAGATTAAGAAACGTGTAGATAAGGCTGTAGAGAGAAAGGAACCCTCATGAACCACTGGTGGGAGTGTAAACTGGTATAGCTGTGGGAAGAATATGGAAGTTCCTCAAAAAATTAGAAATACCATCCAACCCAGTAATTCTACTTTTGGGGTATTTACACAAACCCCAAACACTAATTCACAAGATATATGCACCCCTGTGTTTATTAGCATTATTTTAAATAGCCAAGATATGATGGCAGCCTAAGTGTCCATTGATAGATGATGGATAAAGAAAATGTAGTGCACATACATCATGGAATATTAGCCATAAAAATGAATGAAAACTTGCATTTACAACAGCACAGATGGACCTAGAGGTCCACTTATTATGCTAAGTGAAGTAAGTTAGAGAAAAATACCATGTGATTTCATTTACATGTGGAACCTAAAATAAAGAAAAACTAGAAATAAATATGGAGAACAAAAGGGTGGTTAGAGGGGTAGTCAAAATAAGTGCAGACAGTCAAAATAGGTGCAGGCAGTCAAAATAGGTCCAATATAAAATACATAAGACGGGATAAAAGATACAGCATGGGGAACATAGTAATACTGTAGTAACTTGGTATAGTGACTGATGGTAATTACACTTACCTGGTGAGTATTTTATAATGTATATAAATGTCAAATCACTATGTTGTATACCTGAAACTGTTATAATATTATGTCAACTATGCTTCAGTTTAAAATGTTTAAAAAAAGAAAAGAAAAAGAAGAATGAATCCTAATGTGTGTGGTGCATTAGCCAAACCTTTGGATTAGTCACCAAGATTTAAGTTCTAGTCAGAACAATGTGACTGGCCAGTTGTGTAACCTTGGGTAGATCGCCTCATCTCTTTGAAACTTAATTTCATAGAATCCTAGAGTTTTATAAAAATCTTAGAGACCAGTTAGTTTCCACTTCCTAAAATTGAGATCCAGAGAAGTTGTAGCTAATGGTACAGTAAACTAGATGTTCGTTAAACATGTATAAAATTCTAACATTCTTGTTAGTGTCAGAGCCTCTCCCTTTTCCCTGGTAGGCCTTTTTATGCTTTCTTCCTTCATACTCTGATTTTTTTTGGTCCATATTTCTTAAGTACATTCATATCCATTTAAATATTTCTGCCTTATTTTGGAAAATGGACAATAGTTTAGTACTGAAATAATTCAAGCATAAATGAGTATTTTCCTTGATTATCCTTGATTACTTTGGAAATATTAAAATAGACTACAAATGAAAGTGCTCTGTAAAACAGAAAGATTTTGGATATGGAAGTAATTACACTTTCATTATACATACTCTGTATGATCACATTTAGGGTTCCTACACCATCATCTTCATATAAATAGGGAGATACTACAGTGATTTGTGTCTTTTTCAGGAGGAATCATCTAAGGCTTTGGGAAAGAACAAAAAAGTAAGAAAAGACAAGAAGAAGAGTGAGCACTAATACCTGTTACCTTTGAATGGTTATTTTCCCTGTAATTACATGCAGATCTCACAGTCATAAAGGAATACATTGTGCAAGAGGATCTGTTACTCTCAAGTCAGCCAGTTCATCGTGGGCACCAGCATACTCTTCTTGGGTTATGATATCTGCCAAAAATAGAGAACTTGTGATATAGTCATATATTTCAGGCTTTTTGGATGAATGAATTAGGATTTATTCACCACTTCATCCAATTTTAGGAGGGTAAAGTTGCCCAGGGCAGTATTTGAATTCACTGTCCATCTCAGTACATGTCAAGTGCCTTTGTTAGGTTGGGAAGAAATGTCTCTAGAGGAATACAGATACCTGATTTCTTGTCATCAGGCTTCTCATTTTGTTAAATGAATATTATCTTCTACTTGTCGTTGTGGCTTACTGGAATTGGAGCTCACTGAAGATTGATCTTGGGGAGTTTCTTGTGATTTTAGTTCGTAAGTATATCACCTTTTGTTTTATGGTGTTCATTGCTGAGTGGTGGTTCCGTGAAAACCAAGGAGTGTCCATCTGTAGTTATGTGCTGAAGTAGTGATTCATCTAACACATATGTTAGCCTAAATGTATGCCTCAATTTTTGCAAATACGTAACTGTGAAATTTCAAAAAGTGATTTCCTAGTTTCTGCTTTTTTTTGTTAATTCTTGTAGAGTGAAACAGTCAGTAGTTTCTTTCCTCCTGACCTTGAAATGTGTTGGTGTAATATTCTGGGTTTCTTTTTAACAACCTGAAGTACCTTTCTTGTGATCTTTATTGATAAATTAGAACTGTGCTAAAAGCTCTTCTCTGGTTAATAGGACGTTTACAGAGTGGGGTGGAGGTGGCAGAACAACTGGTGTCACATAGGAAAATGCCCTCTAGTGAGATAAATGTGATGTACACATTCTGTCTGCACTCCAGCCAGCTTGTGCAAGTCCATGGCTTTGTGGAGAGAAGGAAGGAACAAACCTTCTGCTTGGAAAAACAAAGACAATCCCTCTTTTTTCCATTCTTACCAAATCTTTCTTTTTATCAGTGTTTATGTTCCTTCTTTCATTGACCTCTATGAAAGTTATGCCGTTGACTTCTAGGCATCTAGACAATAAATTTATTCTTGAGATATGACAATAAGTCATCAACAGTTTCCTTTCAAATATGATTGCAAACAAATATCAAAAGTTTTTAATTGATAATGGATTTGCCTGAGATTCCCTTCCAAAGGGAGGGAACAGAAATTAGTAGGTAATTTGAGATGGTGCTGGATCCGAGAAAAGTGGACACAAGACAGACGTGTTTTTCTGTTCTCTGACGTTTACCCTAGGATGGATTCTGAGAAATAAAATCTGAATTATGTTTGTTGTAAGTGTGTTTAATGTTGCCAGTTACCAAGAGTCATCAGAGGATGACCTCTATATATTTAGAACACTTACTACAGATTCCATGAAAAGTATGTCTTATGTATTAGCTGTTAAACTAAAAAGTTAAAAACCAGTAGTTAACATTAAAATAGTCTCACAGTTTTGGCATATGAAACCTGTGAAAGGAGATACAAAACAATTTGTTGCTACCGAAAAATAAATGAGTTAATTTTTCTGCAACACCAAATTTGAATTTTTTGCTGTTTTATCTAACAGTTAGTTTAGGTCTTTATGGAAAACCTTTATATCTGTGGTCTTATTTTTCCCTCATTAAAAAAAAACCCTTATTTTTGCTTCTTTCAACAAAATTATTCACCACATTTTCCTGACTTGTTGCCTTTGCCCAAAGTTAGGTAGCTAGTAAGGAGAGATCCAAAAGTCCAGCTCTGGAACTTGAGTTACTTCCTGCTCTACTATTAGACTCCTAACTAATGATAAACTTTTTTCTGTATTTAAAATTTCTCTCAACTAGAGGATTTTCAAATTCTCCAAATAATAATTTTCTATAGCTACATCTATGCTATGGCATATTTTATAGCATATTGTATTAGTTAAAAATACTCTCCATATACCAGTATCTAGGAGCAATTAGCATCTATATTTTAAATGGAAATAGCAGTGTTATGAAACAGAGCCTGTTTGAAGATAATTATTGGAACCTAATCATCACCAAGAAAGAATAGCATGAAGCATACTATTTGGAGGATAGGTGAAATTTATTGGGAAAATGTATAACCACCTCTAATTCTATCTAGAGATAACCATTACTAACATTTGATATGTACATCCTATTTTTTTTCCTATGCATGATTTTGTATATATGGCTATTTTTATTTCCATAAAAGTGATATTAAACTGTATATACTGTTTTGTATCCTGCATATTTCATATAGAAGTATATTGTTAATGTTTTCCCATGTCAATAAATATTCTATGGCTTAATTTCTTATGGCTACATTGTTTTCTGTCTTTTGGGTGTATCATAAAGTAAATTGTGTGCAGGCTTTTGTATATATTCCTGATTACTTTCTTAGGAAAATTTCCTGGAAATAGAATTTCTTAGTCAAATATTTGCACCTTACAATAGCTTAATTGGTTTTGCCAAATTGCTTTCTATAAATGTTTTATCAATTATATCCTCCCATTAACATTTTGTTAGAATATTAGAATACCAGTCAAAGATATGGAAAAATAGGCAGTTGGTAGGTAAAACTACCAACATCTTTTTTTAATTGAGCCTTTTTATTTTCAAATAATTATATATAGACTCACAAGTAAAAATACTCAGCTTTCCCTAGTAGTATATAACTATAGCATATTTATCAAAACCAAGAAATATTCTGGATACAAGTTTTTTGTTAGGTATGTGATTAAGCAGATATCTTCTCCCAGTTTGTAGCTTGTCTTTTCATTCTCTTAACTAGTTTTTGCAGATTAAAAACATTTAATTTTGATGAGGTGTAATTTATCTTTTTTATCATGTTTCTGTGTCATGTCTTAAAACTCTTGCCTAGCCAACTCCAGGTTGTGAAGATTTTTTTCAGTTCTCTAAAGTTTTTTTTTTTTTTATAACAGTTTTTTTTTTTGAGAGGGCATCTCTCATATTTATTGATCAAATGGTTGTTAACAACAATAAAATTAAATTCTCGTCAGTCTCCAATCTTCTGAAGCATAACGAACAAGTTCTTACATGGTGAACGAATTCTTACATAGTGAATAAATTCTTACATGGTGCAGTTCTCTAAAGTTTTAAGGTTTTATGTGTTTTGTTTAGATCTACCCACTTTTAGTTAACTTCTGTATAAGAATTTCTTAGTCAAATATTTTAAGTTCACTTTTTTGCATATGATGTCTAGTTATGAAAATGACTGATTTTTTTTAAATAGAACTTTTTACCAATTTTCACAAAATGAACAGTTACATAACCAGCACTTAGATTGAACAAAAGCTCAATACCAGCCCTCCACACTCCCTTTTGTTCCAGAATTTTGTGAGCTTCATCTGGGTTGCATGTGGCAGTTTTCTCATTCTTATGGTGTAGTATTTCCATTAAATGAGCACGACAGTTTATCAGTTCTATTTATTGGTATTTAGGATCCTAGTTTGAAGCTATTACAATTAGTGCTGCTTTTAACATTCTTGTCGTGGGGGCTAAGTGAAAGTTTTCACCCAGAATTTCCACCTGGTCTTAGTCCATTTACGTACCAATGGGTGCTTACCATGGCAGAGCCCCTGATAGATCTGGGGGCAAGGGGTGGAGAGAAAACAGCCATTTCCTCCTCTGTTCCTGGTACCTAACTGATCTGGTGCCAGCCAGTCACCAGGGACCCGCCCATGGAGTTCCTGCTGGAAGGGACAGTCAGTGGCCTTTGGAGGGGACAGAGCTGGTTTGCTAGCGGGGGTGGAGAGGAAGGACTGGGGAGCATACCAGAGGAAGCCAAGCGAGATACTGAGCTGTGAGCAGTAAAAACCCTTCCTCCCAACCTGCCCTTCCCCTTGTCCTTTGGTGTTAGTGGATTCATAAGGAGGTTGCCCCAGGCCAGGAGCTCTTTTACTCCCAGAGCTACACATGGCTTTTGGTCCAAATATGACACATTTCTAAAGCTTATATACCTAGAAGTGGATTTGCCTAGCTAGTCATGGGATGTGTATATGTGGCGTTTTAGTGTATACCTACTGGTAAATTTTGAACAACTCGCTCTGGAGTCAGTGCTGATTGATAATGTTTGCCAGTCTCTGTGGTGTAAATACTCCCACTCTATCCAATTTTAAGCTACCAGTGTGAAATCAATCAGCTTCCAGAATTTCTGCCAATGTAGCATGGCTTCTTGTGAGCTCCAGCACCCATCTCTCATACTGCCAGTTTTCCAAAATAGTTACAGCCCTTTCCAATCCTGCCAGTAGTGATGAGAGTACTAATTGCTATGCATCCACATCAGTATTACCTTTTTCATTTTAATCATGCTATGTGGTGTGTAGCGGCATCACTTTGTTATTTTATTTTGTTTTTTTCCCTGATGACTAATAAAACAACACCTTTCATTACTACATTTTTATACCTCAAGTGACAGTAATATTCTAAATGACACATTTCTCCCCCTGCAACCCCCCCACTACAGGAATGGAAATATGGTGACTTGTTAATAAAGTTTTGTTCAGATGTGAAAAATAAGTTTACAGTTTTGCATATCTGAGTGCCTGGTCTATACCTTTCTACACTCCATTGCCATCCCACTGTTATACTAAGTCTGAATTTATCAGGAACCATAATCTTTTTTTTGCTGTTAGTTTCCTAATTTATAAAAATAGGATTATGATTCCTCCTTATCTGGGATATTATGAGTCTTAAATGAGATGCCTTCCATGGTGTTTAGTGTGTGATAGAATCCAATAAAGCCACTAAATTGTATTCTCTTCACTATTTAGGGGAGAACTGTCCTACAGCAATACCTCTTATGTAAGGTAGGCAATTTCTGAGGATTTTAACAGTATCTAGAATTTCAAGTTGACATTGAGGTTACTGATTTCTTAGGCTCCCCTAGGGAGGCAATATAATATAGTAGCTTAGAGCTGGGCCTCTCGAGTCTGTCCAATTTGAATCCTATGTCTGCTTTTTGCTAGTGTGAGCTTGGGCAAGTTATCTAATTTCTCTGCATTCAGTTTTGGAAAGCTTACAAAGAGCTAAGTAGGCCATGGGCTGATACTGAAAAACTGCTTAGTTAGGAAGATGTAATGGAGAACTCTGAATCTGGTAAAGGAATATAGACCAAGGGTTGACTTTTTCTGTAAATAGCCAACTACTATATATTTTACATTCTGTGAACCATCTCTGTCACAGCTACTTGATTTTGTTGTAGCATGAAAGTAACCATAGATAATTTGTACACTGACAATCACATGGCTGTGTTCCAGTAGGACTATGGGTACTGAAATTTCAATTTAATATAATTTTCATGTATCATGAAATATTCTTTTGATTTTTTTCAACTGTGTAAACGTGTAAAGGAAAACTCACTTCCTGTGTGTAAGGCTGGAGGCACTGGAGGGAGGGGTGAGCATGTCTGATGAGCTCAACCCTCACTAAATAAGGAAAGGGGTAGCAAAGCCCCCAACCCCAGCCTAGTACATGCCAAAATCCCTGGCTGCTGCCCCCTCCCAACCTGGAAAAGGAGTAGTAACTTTCTAGTCCTTTGTCTACTGTAAAGGCCAATGAAAAACCTGCATGTGCCTTAGGCTAGCCAATCCTCGCGCCACTGTAGACCTACGCTCTCCCTCCCCCTAACTTCTTTATAAACTCACTGCCTGCCCTGCTGGGTGCGACTCCTCTGGCCTGTGACTAACCAGACTGGTGAACATTGCCCAGGATTGTGCCCCATTCAACTTTTGGCTCCTTTGTTGCCTCCTCGCCTGGTCATTTCGGCTCGATTTTACCTTACATCTGGTGCCCAAACCCGGGAAGGAGATAAGGTGTGGGGCTCTGGCTGGCCACTGGTAGCTCCCACCCCTCCTTCCCCGATCCGGGACCTCCGCCTACTCCCAGCACCTCGGACAGCGATTTGGTGAGTCCGTCCTTTCCCCCGGTCTGTTTTCCCTGTCCTGTCTCCACCTGGTTCGGTTAACTTCAAAATTGTAGCTACGTCCAGGTTCTCCAGGCATTACACCTGTCCTGGTCCCGAGATAGAGGAGACGTCCTCATCTGGGCTCCCAGATCTCCGGGGAAGAGTATGATACTTCCCTGTCTCCTCCTAACCTGAGCGAGTTTGGGACACTGGGCTTGCCAGGTTAGGGGCTCTGGGAAACGGGTAACAGACATGGGGAGCCAGTCCTGTAAATCGAAGGCTCAGACCCCTCTGCGGTGTCTCATATCAAATCTGGTGTCCCTAGATATAGTGGAGGAGATCCATAAACGGAAACTGGTCCGACTTTGTTCTCAGACTTGGCCCAAGTATCCTCTGGACAATCAATATCACTGACCCCCAGAGGAAACTTTTGATTTTAGCCTCCTCACCGACCTAACTAACTTCTGTCACCAAACTGGGAAGTGGTCTGAAGTCCCATATGTCCAGGCCTTTTGCACTTCCGTCCTGACCTTTATGTTAAGTGTTCAATGACCCAGGTTCTACTGGCCCAGTCTCCAGTTAAGGATTGTCAGCCTCTTACTCTGCCCAGTCCTTCCTCCTTTTCAGATCCGCTGGAGGACCTCAGTTGCCCACCTCCCTCAGCCCGCGATCCCCTCCCCATCTCTTCGCTGCCATCTTTAGGTCCTTTGTCCTCAGCCACGCTGTCTTCCTGCTCCTCTCCTCTTCTGGTGTCCATGCCACCCCCTCCCCTTCTTCTGCCCTCACTGCCCTCTTTTCCCACTGGAACAGGCTTCTTCCACCCTCTGGTTCCGGAAGCCATGGACAAGACTCCTCCCAGCACAGACCCACCTTTCCCGACCCTACGCTCCTCCCCACACCCGCCATTCCCCGTTTGTATCCTTCTCTTCTGGTGTTGCTGCCATCTTCACTTCCTGTTCCCACCCTGTTGCCATCTTATGTGCCCGTGCTGCCCTTAGCGCCCAGTTCTAGCCCTCTGGTCACCAGATCCAAGGCCCAGTGGCTTCCCCAAAGGCCCAACTAGTAGCCCCTTTCCAAGAGGTTGCAGGGGCAGAAGGGGTTGTCTGGGTTCACACCCCTTTTTTCCTAGGAGATTTATCCCAGATTGAGAAATGCCTAGGCTCTTTTTCCTCTAACCCCACAGTTTATACCAGAGTTTGACTACCTAACTCAGGCCTACAAACTTACCTGGCATGATATACATGTTTTCCTAACCTCCATTCTTACATCTGAAGAATATGACCGTGTTACCTCCACCACCCAACATTGTGCAAATGAGGCACATAACACAGATCAGGCCGAGCCAATTGGGATGGAGGTGATTCCTCTCATGGACCCCCAATG